TGTGTGTGTGTGTGTGTGTGTGTGTGTGTGTGTGTGTGTGTGTGTGTATTAGTATTATATTTATAATAACACTTTACGCGGGTCACGCTGTATATACAGAAAACATTTCTCCAAAATAATCCGAATGTATATCCCTCGCTGATATTTTGCAACGATTCATACGATTAGAGAAAAGTTTTGAAAAGCGGGTAAATTCGATAGGTTCCAAATGAATACCGGGAAAATTCTGCAACAACGTTCCCAGCTTTTTCTGTTTATCGATCGTTCCATCCGACGCAACATAGCGATCTGTATTCCGCGTTCTACCGTTCCTCGGAACTTTTATGAATCGCTGATCGTTACAACTAGCTCGTGCATAAAAGTCGAGGCTACAATCGACGTGCACGTAGAACAGAACACTCCATCGTCGACAGGACTTTCGCGAGTCGTGGACAAACTTCCAGACGGTTTCCTTCGTTTCCCTCATCTGGCAGAGTTCCATTGCGCCGTGAACTCCCCTTTCGAGGAAATTTTTATTACTGGTACCCAGGTTTCTTCAAATGTTCGTCGTGACATAATTTATTCAGATATTATGGAGTATGTGTCCTGTGATTTAATTTAAAAGTATTTTAGACAGTTTGTATGGATTTGATTAAATCATAATGGAAAGCAAAAATATTAAATTGGCAGATCCTGCATAGTATCACTCATAAAATTGTACGAATTGTGAAGGTGGCCCTAGAGTAATGTTACAGTTTACTAGAATAGTATAAAGGATAACAATAACAATTAAAAAGTAAAGGATAAATAAATTTAGTCTAATCAGAGACCTTAATGAATGCAAGAATAATTAATAAAAACTTGTCCATTACGAAGGAAAACAACGAAAGGAAAATATTTAATACCTTCAAGTCTTCCTATCTGTTAAAGTCGAAAGTAGCAGCAAGCAAACACAGCACAGTTCTTACATCGATCCGAACAGAGTTTGCGGAAAGTTTGATCGAACTTGGAGCCCGACAGTTTGCAAGTGTTCCCTTGTAAGCAGGGGTATGGGCATTAGAGCTGTTCTAATTGTTTGCTGCCCCCGATGCGTTGCTAGGGGTCGTTTGAGCCGGCTGATCCAGATTGATGGATCACAGCCGCTGGTCACGGCTCATTATTGGTTCCGTTATATCCACTTTCTCCAACCGCGATTGGCTATCGCTAGACAAACTGCCCGATCGAGTGCACCCTGTATCGTTTAACCAAGTCGATCATCCAATGGAGAGCATCTCACCCCGTCCATTTTTCCCCCTCTGTAACGTTTACTTTGGTCTTGGAAGCGTTCGCGGAACAGATTGCTCGTTAAACAATAAATCAGCTCGGCTTCCTATGGCCGAGCGAAGTGCTGAAAGAACTACGCGATGGAACGAGTTAGTAAATTCCTTCGTTCTTCGCTGAAAGGGTAAAGAGCATTGACGTCTAGTTAGGATTTTCGATACAAGGGAAAGGTCTTCCTAAGAAGAAAATGCAACGGAAGGGATTCGTGGGAAATCCAGAGACGTACGGAATTCCGGAGTAATTAACTCGCTGCCCAGAGGAGTTGGAAGCTGAGGGCGGCGGCGGGGGAGGGTTGCGAGTGGGTTGATAATGACCACAGGGTCGCCTTATCTACGGTTGGTGGACCAGACACGGTGCAGATAAGTGGTCCCGCGAGATCTCTCGTCGACTTGGGCCATCTTGGCTCAACGCCATTTTTCATTTGCTTATACGAAAGAACGGTCCGTCAGGCTACCGCTCTACAAAAAGTGGCAGTTGGCGATGAAACTTTTTCGCTTAAGGAGTTATCGACTCTTCGACTGGTTCGTTTGACAAATCACGAAAATATCGGGTTATTGTATTTTATATCTGGAGTATGAGCAGTGGAGTATTAATAATTATTCGAGTAGAATTGAGAACTCCTAGCATACAAATAATAATACGAATAATAATAATACTGATTAAAGTTGTAATTTAATTCGTGCTCCTCGTACCTTTATCGCGCATACTTGTTGCTTCAGTAATCGGTACGTAAAATGCTTCAAAAGACCCATTAAATATTTCCATCGTTCTCGACCCCTTTTCTTTTCGATCCTCCCCCATAAAATAAATTATATTTTACATTTTTTAACCGACAAGTTAATGTCTAAGACCATGTCTAAGTATTTCAGACATGATTTGCTGGCTGAGGAGGGTGTAAAGGGGTTGGGTCACGGCGAATGTCACATCGCAGCTACGCAAAATGTATTTGACCGAGGGGAAAATCAATAAATCGATGCATTTCCGCGTATTAGTCAAACGTACGGAAACGTTAATATGTGACGTCAACATGCGCGTTAAAACAGAAGCGTTATAGTCACAGTCGGCGATCAAACGCGACGCACGGTTTTGTAAATTTAGGATCCGTATGCACATTTCGACTACGTGTCACGCCATTTCCTGTTCAATAATCAAAGGCCGTATTTGAGTTAGAAATTCGGCATTCGTGTAATACACAGGTACAGAGTCAAATGAATTTCAACTGATCAACGTTTCGATATCGAGATACGTCACTGTAACCTGCGACAATTTCTAAGTTCTAATTTTTCAACATTTTGGACTTCGATTACTCATTTTCTTTTATACAATTGCTTTTTCTCTTATTTACTTTCTATTTTTGTATTCAAAGACATATATAAAGCTTGTTTTAATCATTACATTGTGTCACTGTTCGGTATTGTAGTATATCTTCTAAAGATTCAACATTGTACTAATAGGCATCGCGACTTCACCCAAAGTAGGGTCACTCGAACCAACTCTGATCGCGAGACTAAAAGTTTAAATAATTATACATTTCGCGGTTTTTGCGAAAGCAGCGATTATGCTCGCGGATACACGTTATCGCGGCAGTGAATTTCGATGGAGTTTGTACGTAGGACGCGCAACGAGTTTGCACAGTTATCGATAACGGAGTGGAAACTTGGTCGAATGAAATGGGCATATTTATTTTCCAGACTCTGACAGGGAGATAACATAAATATCATTTTGCTTATGAAGAATGAATAAAACCTTTTCGTGTAATTCGTCGATTAACCGTAGACTCGAAAGGGAAGCGACCGAAATGAAACCGACGCGGTTGTTTTCGATTCGTCGTTCGTTGCGAGATTGGCAGACGTTTTAATTATTCGATACTCTCTCGAAATGACTGGAATATTTACCTTTACATGATATAGTAGAATTTCTTGTGGTCAAAGAATTGTGGTTAAAGAGATATTTTAATTATTCGTGATTCCGGTGGATTATTTTATACCAGTAAAAAAAGTTTCTAAACACGTTATCTCATATTCCAAACATAAATTCCGTAAATGAAATTTTCGTCCTTGCATATTAGGCAACACGAGACTCTAAGATCCACGTTTTAAAATTAAATTAGTTCTATGGTGAACAAACAATTGATCCTAGTAATTAAGTAAAAGATATCACCAATTTCAATAGTGATTAGTTTGCCAAAGTCTGTAAATAGTGAACCAACGAACTGGTTATATCCCTGGTAATGCCGGAAAGTAGCTCTTCCAGGCGTATAGGTAGACTGATAATGGCCGCAGGTAGGTCAGCGACGAAGCGATAAAAGTTCCTCAAGAGGTTCCCTCCCCCCCGTTCCCCACCTTCCTTTCAGCGACACAACAATGCCGTTCAAGCCCTCCTTTATGGCCGGTTACGCTCTTCTCCGCGGCTAGTAAATGACTTCGTCTGGCAACCAACTTACGCCTTACTATGTACCGTGATTCGCTTGAAAAGTTGACGTCAAAGCATTATGAGATACCGACAAGCACGTGTCTTCAGTGCACGTAACGGGTGTCTCGTAAAGTCGTGCTCTGTGTGATGCCCCCCTCCCTCCCTCCCTCCCTCCCTCTCCTGGGAAGTACTTAACACGTTCGCTATCGACGTCACACATACACCCGCCACTCGATAGTTTAGAGCACCCTTTGATCTTGAACCCTCTGTAGCGCGGACTTCATTTTATCTCCGCGAAGAGATATTATTTGGTTATTTATATATTCACGACTTGTAAACTTTTTTTGTGTTCCGTATATTAAGCGGATGAAGTACTTTATGCAGAATAAAGGATTGTAAATGTATTTTAAACGTTTCGAGCATGTATTATTTTCTTCTAAAGTTTGGTAAAGGGAAAACTTCAATGTTTAAAATTTATTTTTAAATCGATGGTTGCTCCGAACGAAATCTTTCTCTTTATTGAATCTGTACATTACTAGCAATTTATCATCGATAAAATAATTCTTCAAGTCGTAAAGAAGCAATCCCAGCGGTTTTATTGACGACCCGATCGGAGCGGAAGGGGAAGACAGAGCACGCCAGTGACACCGGATCGTTTATGGTCAGACGCACGTTGATTCAAGTGGAATGGCTCTGTAACTAGCGACACGTGCACTATTCTGAGAATTCTCTCGGAGGTTTCTGACTTGTAATTTACTGGTCTAACGCAAGGGGTCTAACCGATAAAATATATGATTTCAGGGGTGGACAAGGCGTACGATGCTTAGGGATGCTTGGTCGAACGACGGTGGGAAAGGCTGGTGGCGATGGTGGTCTAGGCTGGGCGGATTGCTGGCGATGGCGACGGCCATTTCCTGTCTTGTTGCCCCGTTTCCGGGAGCCTCGGCCAATCCGGAAGCGAAGCGTCTCTACGATGACCTGCTGTCGAACTACAACCGCCTCATCCGCCCTGTTGGCAACAACAGCGATCGCCTCACTGTCAAAATGGGACTACGCCTCTCCCAGCTCATCGACGTTGTGAGTAGTACACACTTAACCTATTATTCTATCGCGACAATAGCGTTTGAAACTACAGAATCACTATAGAAGCGGTCAAACACGTGGAACAAGAGCACCAGCATCTAACGAACCGTCATAGTTCGTAATTTGATGATAATAGCGAATTTTTCTTTTTGCTCGATGGTGACTACTATGCGATAGAAAATTTATTTTAATATTTATTAACAGTTAACCAAGCTAAATTACTTTCTTTTGTTATCGTTAATATTGTTATCGTTACAATATCGCATTAGTAACGCGATAGTTATTTCTTGTGGAAAACGCAGAAGTGTCACTTTCTGACATTATTTTCCGTACTTCGTATCTAATACATCACGGCCGATGATACTCGCCGTGGAAAACAATTATCGATAGGGATAAAGTAAGAAATGTAAGTAGTTATCCATAGATAATTACTTTTGTTGATTACTTTCGAAGCTGTTGCGCTTGTTCCACTTTTCGTCGACGTGAAATATCTGTTACTTAGCGATACGAAATGTCCGCTAATTCTCGTGTTCGATTTTCTCAGTTTCAAAACCATTAAATAATACGGATGTAGCAGGCAATCAAGAGAAATTCCTCTTCTGTAGGAGTCTCTGTAAATTAAGAAGAATACTCGCTTTTAAAAAAAACCTGGAGTTACTAGGTTCAAGTTAAAATCAATTTACACGTCTGATAGGTTCAACTTCAAAATTTATTGCCTTCATTCGTGTTACTACGTTCACATCCAAATTAATTTTTCCTAATCACCCAACTATTTTCAAATTCAAATTAATTTCACATCCACACAAGCCATAAGCTACAAGCTCCACAACCATCAAACCTGAAATGATCAATAATAAATCAGAAACAAATCGTTAAAAAGGCAAGTAAAATCCAGCATGGTCTACTAGTGGACCAATTGCCCCCCCCCTCGCCTCCTCATTTCCCGCCATCGAATGTTCCTGAATTATGGAAGCACCGGTCAGGACTCGCGAGCCATTCGCGTACCTGTGGCGATAAGTTGAATTCCGTGAGATCCCCGTGTCGGAACCGGAACTAATTTACAGGCTGACCGATCCATAGCACTCGAGCCATTAATTGCCATAATCTGATCGCGGCCGATCAATCGTGTCTAGGACGAGGTTTGACCGGGCCCCGTGTGGACGCCTACACACTCGAGGCCATCTTCTCCGACGGATCAATGTGCTACAATTACGCGATTGTCTGTCCCCCATCCTCCGTCCCTCGTCCCTTGACCCCCCACCCCTAACCCAGACCCAGCATTGTCTCCTTGGTTATTACATTCGTGTTACATGCTTATATAGCCCTGTCCCGAATTTCGGCTGTAATTACCTCGATCACGGACGTCTATAGACTAAATACGTGTTCTCACGCACAAGCCATAATTAATTTTGTTATCGACTGACCGGCTGCTCGCTGCGTTGGGTACTATCAACCCAATGCCAACACTATAATTCCGATGGAACCGTAGCTGGGAACTCGTTTCGATTTGCAAAAAGGATGACATTATAAAAAATCGGCAAATTAACCCATTTGCGTCGTACGGAAAAGTGGATAATTCGTTCTTATCGGTAACACTTTATTTGAATTCGATTTTCACGTAAATTGGGCGGATAGGTTGGCTGTGGAACAATTTTCGAATTTTTGTTAAACCAAAATTATACGAGATCCTAGTTTCGCATGATGCAAGGCTAGATAACGAAGTTTGATAATTTGCTATAATAATCGGCACGTTGTTTTAAGTCCAGATTTCGTTACGTCGCGTGATGATTTATGTTGTTCGAGAGTTTCGCGAGGTTATATAGATCTTTCTCGTTCTCGAGATAAATTCCAAGTTTTTCCAACCGGCAACGGAGTTTTCCACGGAGAAAGGGTGCGGTCAGCCCGAGATTGGATGTATGAAATTCGTTGAAGCTGTAGCAAGGGATCACGGACGAAATGGAGGCGCGAGTAAGGCGAAGTTTGTGTAAATGGAAGGGAAAGCGAGAAA